ATTAAATCGCTATACGATGCCATACGAGTGATTGAATCAATTTAAAACAACCTGAACATAACAGTTTGATCACGTTTACGATAATCGCTTGATTTTTTATCCATATTCTAGTTAAGTTGTCATCATTTCATCGCATTTTCTGTTATCTTACGAAACTTCATTTCGTTCAATTTTAACTCGTCCACAACACTAGCGAATTATCAAGTATTGCCAGGCTCAATTGTTTGCACTGGCGATTTTGTTTGCATGATCATTACTTTATCTTCTTCGCAGCTTTGCTCATTACGCGATGTTTAGACGTCTAAGAATATAACTGAAGAAAGTGAGAGAAACTGACTAGCAACTCATTGTTGATTTACTGAATCATCGAGCGAACTCTTTTTTGATGGGAGTTATGAAACGAATTAATCGATGTGAGCAAATATCAATGGATATAAAATAAATTCGTGTACATCAGTTGTTTACCTCCGTCCATGAGTCATCACATTTCGTCACGATCAAAGTGGCTGATCAAATTAATGGCTCTTTAAGTTGTCAGTTTTCACTGCACCGAGTGAGACATGCGTATGAGGATTTTAGAAGAAAATAGCATTGAAAACGAAATTCGATTTGTGATTGAATGAATGACGCTCCAGAACAAGTTTATTGCAAATGAACAAATGAGATTATCTTTTTCCAGATACCTTCAAGACGGATTGCTTACTGCTTTCGCATGCTGAATTACTCTTTGTTTCAAACGCTTCCCATTTATTCACTCATTCATGCTTTATCTTTATGCTTTATCATGTGTGTTAAAGATGCTTCCTCTTAGTGTGGCGCATCATTGATGCGTTTGTCTGTTCCAGTTCCTTCATTTTGTGTTGTTTGCATTCGAGAGTAGATACAGCAGCTCAATGCGGCCAGGTACAGGATAGATTGGCAGATTGCTCAATTGCTTCTGGTGAGCTATACAACTGTATGATACGTACGGATGCTTCATTCGACAGAAAAAAAATCCTTCCACTTATTGCTTGCTGTTGGCTCTGATTCTGCAACGGAAACAAATCGGTATCGAAAATTGCTGCCGCTTGCCTATTGATATGCAGCAGCAGCAGCAGCAGCAGACAACTCATGGCCTCATAAACCACTGTCAAATGCAATTCTTTGTTTCGTACGAGTGATGCAAACGAAGATATTGTTCTGTTTCATGTCAATGATTTTAAAAAAGTAGCTGGTGCTTACTCCGAGCAGATTTCATGAGCTCGACGTGTCCTGTTCGAGAGTCATTATGTTGACAGCTTGACCATTCAATTACGAAAAATATGATTCTTATGTGGCATGAGAATGGGAATGCTTCCCTACCGCTTTTAGATAATAACCTTCAGATAATAACAAATAACCTAAGGAAAAAATTATTCTCCTGCGCATATTGTTAAAATTCATTCATATTAGATTTTTTTGTAGTCAGTGCTTGCTTATTGTGTCTATCGTTCTCTATCGGATGTTTCTTTTTTTTGGTGCTGTTGTTTCATGTTAGCTTGACGAAAATTTGCTTCTTGTTGGACACTGTGAATCGCTTCCAGGCGTTCGATAGAATGCCGGCTTGTGTTAAAGAAGGCAATAAATATGAGACAGAAGACTAAGAAATTCATATGTTGTTTCTGCGTATTCTTTGCTATTTGCTGGTAGCGAATAGAGATGCGATTATTCGATATCTATTCTAATGTTCCCATTCTCCTTTCTCTTATTCTTGTTAGCTCAAAATACATCCTTTTGCACCGTGCAAACGGTTACAATCTTATATTCCCGTGCAAGTAAGTACGCAACAGATGATGTTTTCTCTATTGTGCTCATTCACAGTAACAATGAATTCATAACTTTTGAGGTCTATTGAGCGATAGGAACTAATAACGTGATCGGTTGCTGAAGATATTGAACGTGTGTTATTCAGCCATTGTAGTTATTACTGACTGGAGCGATTGTTGTGAAGTTTTACCTCAGAGTGCATTATAGTGGGTGTTCGTCTGAGCCTTCACATAAGCGTATTCGTTCACATGCTGCGACGATGGACGCGTGGTCGTCGTCTGATGGAATACACAAAATGAATATTTATAGACCGAGAAAACTAAGCTCTAGAAAATGATTAAGAAGTTATTCGATTGATTAGATCATATTATGAAAAAAATGAGCATAAAGGTTCAGCAGGTCGATGGAACTGAACATAACCAACTTAAGACCGATTGAGTCTTATACGAATATTGGTTCGTATGTTTACACGAATATTGGTCCGTATGAGATTAAGGGAATTAGTCACGAATCAGTCCACTTTAGTTATGTTTTAAATTCCACAGCAATTCTTTGGCCAACAATTAATCATAAGTCGTTACGACATTATGTGCGATATTTTTCTTGTTCAATTTCCAATCCACTTTGATCCTCTAACATATTTCACTTGCACTTAAACGCCATTCTATAAAACATGCATAATCATATGTATATGCATATACTTCAGGATATTCCATTTCTATCGGCAAATCCCTGAGTGGTCCTATGATCATCTTCTAGCAGTAACAAAGCAAATCTTGTTCTAGCATTCGCAGCTACACATATAAACACGGATCTCTTTGATTTAAGACATGTGTTCCATTTCCAAGCCCACATTATTATTATCACCCACATTATTATTATTATCATATATCATTTTGAATTCATACGCCGAGCCGATAGATCTGCGGCTAATATGATATTGAAAAGTGAATGATAGGTCGTAAATTTGGTATTGATTCTGGCTGAATACTTTAATTAAACGAGAGAGCCAGAGTCTTGCGGAAGCCCCAATCAACCGTTTTTCAGCATTTATAAACTATCGATTTAGGTTGCCTCTCCTAGTTTTTTTTCGTGCTGTCCAATTACTGCCTATTATTTTCGCGACCAAAGAAGTATCACATTGGTTTGCTCTACACTAATTATCGAACAACTTTTGGGTAGAAATGTTAGGCTAGTTTGAGCCAACAGACTTATATGTTTGTAATTATTTTGATGAGTTCAATTTCTCATTGATAGCACCAGTTCAAACGTCGAAAAACTCACGTACCAGCGCGAAGAAACTGACATTTCATGTCAATCTGCTAGCATTACAGGTTGTTTGGAGTGAAACTTGAGTGTTTTCAAGAAATGCATCATTCCTAATCACAAATCACGTGAGCAGCAGCATCGCTGCTACTGTGTTCGTTGCCGATCGTCGACTCCCGGTCAGATAAAGGCCTCCGTTTTGAGTGGAACCTAAGCAATATATCTGAATTATAATGCTTTACTTTTTGCTTATTTGTTTGATGGTTATTATAACTGTTGGTGGGCACAATATCAGTTGCGAACAGCCGAAGGCTTGCTCAAGCGGTCTTTTGATCCCAGTATGGCAACCTCAGGTACGTTTATTTGAGCTCGAAACTGATCCTTCTATCGCAAAATGATCTCGTCAGTATGTCATACAAATCACTGCTGCTTTGGAAATATTCTAATCTAGAAAACTAAGTGGCATTTCAGCTGACTTCGTTCGACCAACAGATTGTGCAGCACAGCAAATGTGTCAGTTGCACATTCACCGAAAAATTTCTCCTCAGTGAATTCTTCAGCAAGCATTCAATTCCAATTCAAATGTCATTCAATTTTGTGAACATCCATTAAATTCCAATCATTTGTTCTACACAGCCGTTGTGTGAACGAAAACTTTTGGACACATTATTCAATTCGATGTTGAATTTGAAAAGTGAAGTTAATGAGGTGATTCGCTTCAGAGTGGAATCGGTGTTGCAACGATCGTATTTCGCGCACTTATCTACTTCATTGCATTAGCTTATATGTTCTTCGGTGTATCGATAGTGGCCGATCGTTTCATGGCAGCGATCGAAGTGATTACTTCGCAGGAGCGAGAGGTGAAAATGAAGAAAATTACGGGTGAACCGTATACGATACTGATTCGTGTATGGAACGAAACTGTCAGTAATCTCACACTTATGGCACTCGGTACGCATACTTACGCCAAAACATTTGACATTTCTAAAATCGTTGTTTCCTCGCCTTTGCCTTCGAACACTCGGAAGCTTCCCTAATCAAATCAACAGAAGCACCTACAATAAGACTGAATTTGAGTCAAACTGCAAAATTCTCATTCATTCACAAACTGAGAATGTTTTTTTNTTTTTTTAGGCTCAAGTGCTCCAGAAATATTGCTTTCAGTGATCGAAATTTTCGGCAACAAATTCGAATCAGGTAATAATGCTGCCTGTCGTTCACATCAAATAGCCCTCATTATTTTTGCGTTTCTTGGCGTATTCTGAGACATATTTGATGGGTTTGATGGATAGCCTTTATGCATCTCATGCCGCCACATAATTGTAATCACCTGCTTCAAGAAAAATAAATGAGATATTCGACTGACGAAGTAATCCTCAATGGGTTTTAATGGTTTGTCAGGGGCATTGTACTGGGAAACATAATTGACTTTTTCCGACCAATGTTTCTTTGATCACAAATTTGTTTTCTGCGATCAGAGAGATATCACTTTTAAGGAGAGCTAGGCCCAAGCACAATCGTAGGATCGGCAGCGTTCAATCTGTTCATCATCATTGCTGTGTGCATATATGTGAGTCGTTGACATTTCTGAGTGATCGTTTCCTAGCGATTTCTTTGTGATGGACAATTAGTTGAAAATCGCACTGTTTGGTCATACGATGAGAACGTTTCGGCGTTTATTTTGTAATAACACCGTCTTATATATCGAAACACAAAGCATTCATAAGATACAAACACAAAGAGGGAGGAGATCCTCCAAATGAGATATACGAAAGTTAAAATTCATCATCCGAATCCATAGTGCATGATATCCGTGTACATCTTATACATATTCAGCTAAGTACAGATTTAAAGGTTGATTTCACATACCGCTTTGGTATGCCTCACGAATCGTCTCTTTCGCGCTCCGTCGCGATAGAACGTAATGAAGTGTGTTTTCAAAACTCTATGCATAAGTTTGCAATGTTCTGAATAAATGAAGCATCTTGAGCCTTTGCAGGTGGTGCCATCAACTGAGCGACGATTGGTGCAACATTACGGCGTATTCTGGGTGACTGTCGTCTGGTCTACGTTCGCCTACATATGGCTTTATTTGATCATTTCTGTCTTTTCACCTGGCGTCGTTCAGGTACCAATTGACTGGCTGAACCATTCAAAGATATAAATCTCTAGACTCCTAAGGGCTGTAGTAGTGCACTTTTCGTATTCTGCAATCTCATGCAACCATCCTGAAGTGACATAATTTTGCAGTCGAGTTTAGCATGAGAATGACCTGGATGTGAGGATCAATCTGACGATTGATTGTTTCTTCTAGGTTTGGGAAGGCGTTCTCACATTCCTTTTCTTTCCGTTGACAGTAATTTCGGCTTACATCGCCGATCGCTACATGGGAAACTTTGGACAACGTCTCTTGTCGGGAGCACGAAAGACTTTGCTAAGAAGTTCTCCTGCGACGACAAGAACTGACACGAAGAACACTGAAAGTGGTCGTGATGACATTGAACACAGGTAGTGTCTCTTAGCAGATAGGTGTGAATGGAGCTGGCAGTTACATCCCAGCTCATTTGCTGGCATGGCTGACATGAACACTATGATACGTTGCAGCCGTATGGAATTTCCAGATTGTCCTCTTTCCTCATCACACAGATTGTCCTCTATCAAAATATGAATGCTCGAATCTAGTCAAAACTATGATATTTTCCATCTGTTTCAAATGTGTTTGTTTGTTTTTAACGAAACTTTTGTATTTGTTCATAAATGTAAATGCACTGAAATTCGCAGCCGCACTATAGACGGCGGCTATGAAAACATGCATAGATTGATTTTTGTGGTGTCACATCAGAAAGTCGCTCCTTTCGACGGAAAAAGAGGCGGATGTGATCGCCTTTGAGGAGCATCGTCGCCAGTATCTGTCGGTGTTTCGGAAATTGAGAGCTGAAAACCCGGACGCAGCCGCGGAACAACTCGGAAAACTCGCACTCGAAAAAGTTGTCTCAGAGAAACCACGGAGTCGAGCTTTCTATCGAATCCAGGTATTCTAATAAAACTTCATCACAATAGGTTGAGCCTAATATTATCGTCTATGATTTAAACTCCTTAATATCACACGAAGCGTCAGTCAACGATGTCACCACCCAACCTTATAAGAGACTACAAATCCAATAATCAATTGACTAGCATTGAGAAAAGAGACAGATACTGTAGTTGTTCATTCGCATTGCATCCGTCAAGCATCATTCACCTTCGAACCGCTTCGGTAATTATCGCTGCATACATCCTTTTATGAGCATTTGGATGGGGTGATCACCATCGATAGTGTTTCCGGTAATCGAACAATATGAGAACACTATGCATTCTATTGCAGGCAACAAGAAAGCTGATTGGGTCCGGTGATATCACGAAAAAGAAAATCGAAGGAGGAGTTGATGAGTTTGTCAAATCGCAAGGTTCATCTCAGCTGAAAAACTATGTAGAAGTGAGGTAATGTCACGTTGTTGGCATCAAATCCTGTTCAAAAAAATATTTTATCATTCCATCAGCCCTCCAGTGAGAACCCACTATCAACTGTGACAGAACGGATCTAGCGGATGATTGATAAAGCGAAGCGCTTCCCTTCAGCTAGTTTCATGACTCACCATAAAACAGTCATGTTTTCTTTGCTTCATCTCCATTTCGCTACGTTATACTCTCCTGAAGTTTGGCACTGTTTTGATTCCTTCTTCGGTATAGTTGAAGAATTGTTTTCATTCCTTGTTTGGAATCATCAGTAATGTGCTCTACTTCTCAACTTCACACAGAATCGCATTCTTTTTTGTCAACGAGTTACATTTCAGCTTCGACCCTGCTTATTACATGTGCTTGGAGAATATTGGTACCCTAAAGGTTGGTGTCAAGTGCGAACGTAATAGTGTTCAGGAACCGACCGTTGTTACAGTGCATTGGGAAACGATCGCTGATAGCGCGGAAGAACATGACGATTTCGTGCCGGTCAGTGGAGTCCTGAAATTTGATCCAGATGAATGTCGGTGAGTGGAATTTTTCCTTTCAATTCTAATAGCGTTTTGAAAGTCAGTTTTTTCTCAAAGCTGTCTCAGCTAACTCTTATGTTGTGTACCATTGATTGAAGGCATGAAATTGGAATCGATATTGTTGATAATGATGTGTACGAACTAGATGAGCAATTTTTCGTTCGTCTATCGCAAGTGGAGGCTCATCAGCTTGGTTGATTCTTCGTCTTCTCATAATGAATTCATCCATATTTCAAGCAATTCTACCTCAAATTTCGTTACCGAATCATTCTGGTTTAGTCATACTCAGTTTCAAAATTTACCCCTAAGTGTTCATAAATTTCATATGATTAGTTAAGAAATTAACATAAAAGTGGTTATTGTGCATTTAGTTTCTTTTCACCCCATGCCCTCTCCTCGTCCCCCTCTAAATCAAGGATTTGATCGCTCGTTACATCTACTGAAATGTGCGTGCGGATAAGTTGTGAAATTTGGATGTGTTCAAACGTTTAGAAGTTGAATATGACTGATAGTTTAAGGTGATCAGGATCATTGGATCCCGGCAAAGCTCGGTGTCGCATCGACAGCTACTGTGGTCATTGTTGACGATGATCATGCGGGTGCGTTTGGATTTAGCTCAGAGAAATTCAAGGTTGCAGAAACTGAAGGAATATTTGTGGCTGAAGTGAGTTATGTTTAGATTAGCAGTAAAGGCTTCTCATAATGATAGTTTTGATGTCGCATGTCAACATTCTTCGCATTGTAAATGCTTCTTGTTGGCAACTCAGAGTACCCATGCTTTCGAGCTCTGAAATTATTTGACTTATTGTCACTTCAAGTTAATGAAATCCTCATTCTGCAGGCAAACTCCAGTGTGAAAACTGTTAACGTCCCAGTGAGCCGTTAATTTTACTGTGAAAACTCGGTACTCTTTCAAACTTCAAGAACACCCTAAGACCATTCCAAATTTTAGGTGTTACGTACTCGTGGCGCACGTGGTGAGGTTTCAGTGCCGTTCAAGACAGTTGATGGTGATGCAAAAGCTGGCGCTGACTACACTCATGTCGAGGGTGTTCTTCGTTTCAAAGATGGACAGACTAAGTTCGTCAATCTTAATCCAGTGATTCCAACAGTCAATTAGCTTTTATGTGCCGTTGTTGTTGTGCTACGGAACGGTTTATGAATTAGATGCATACTACTAAATAGCATTCATCGTTTATGTGATTGCAGAGCCGAGATTGAAATTCGGATCGTTAACGATGATGAGTATGAGAAGAATGAAGAGTTTTATTTGGAACTCGGTGAGCCAATTTGGCATCATGAGGAACCAGTCGATGAAGAGGCCGCACTCGGACGACCGGTGCTATCTGATCTGCCACGATGCAAAATTGTGATCACCGAAGACTACGAGTTCAAAGTAATATTAGCTGAATAGCACCTGAGCTGAAGAACTGTGTTCTAAAGAATCCAACATAACTTATCGTTAATCACTTGAAACTGATGTGCATACGAAAAACTGTCGATGAATTTGGATTCAATGACTGTTCAATATTAATGTTTCGAGAAAGCTATGCACTATTGAGTGTCTTTTTTAAAAATTATTAATTGTTTTGCCAATATAAGAAACACGTTTTTAGAACTTCATCGATAGAATAGTGAAAAATGCAAATACATCGATAATGGTCGGTACACACAGCTGGAAACAACAGTTTCAAGAGGCAGTAGAAATTCCAACGGAAAAAGGTTCTGCTGCAAATGCCAACCACATTTCTTCAGTCGATTTTGTTTAGACCTCAGGATGCTTCCAACTGAGTAAAGAATCAAATAATAAAATAACTTTAGCCTATCTATCCTAGTAGATTTCCATTGAACACGAAATTCGAGCAAAATTCGGAATCAGTCATGCAGTGTTTTGTTCTCTGAATTATAGAAGATCATTTGAAGGAAAGTGAGATCAATCACGTTCTCATTAGCATTATGTTCTTATTAGCATTGGCCTCCGTTCACAATGAGTTATCAATTCGGCAGTCGGTTATTCTGCTTGCAGATGAAAAGCCATCAAAGCAGGATGTCTTGTTGCATTATGCTGCGTTGCCGTGGAAATTCTTATTTGCTTTCATTCCACCAACAGACTACTACAAAGGATGGCTTTGTTTCTTTGTTGCAATCGTCATGATTGGTTTATTGACTGCGGTCATCGGTGATCTGGCGTCACATTTCGGTTGTACTGTTCGTTTGAAAGACTCTGTCACAGCCATTTCGTTGGTCGCAATGGGAACAAGTGTTCCTGGTTGGTGGTCAACACTTTACTGCAAAACCCTAAACTTTCACAAATATGCTAGCTGTCACTTATGTGAAGTACATCGCGATGATCAGATCGCTTTGTTATGTTAATTTTGATAATTAGTCACATACAGTTGTGTGTCTACAAACTCATAAGTTCAGAAATCGCTTAACTAAGCGAGCATTATCAGCATCAACACAATGTTCTCGTGATTTTGCTGTTGTATTTCCGTGCGATTGATCCTGTTCATCTCCGAATCTTTCGTTTACGTCAAATATCTATGATACTGCAGGATGTCAATAAGACTCTTATTGTTTTACATTACGTCTGTCAGGTGCCTGTAACTTAAAATTTGGGCATATTCATACGTGAGCACTAATTGTCTAGCAAACGATGAATTCATAACGTGTGACCGACCTTTCAATTTGTTCAATCAAATCTTTAAAAAGCCAATTTTCAGATTTGTTTGCATCAAAAACTGCGGCACTACAGGATCGCTGGGCAGATTCGTCAATTGCAAATGTGACTGGTTCAAATGCTGTCAATGTTTTTCTAGGAATTGGCATTGGTTAGCGTTAAACTTACATGCGCTATCGNCATCAAATTCCGTGGAACTATTAAATGAGACGACTGCTTTCAGCGTGGGCTATAGCAGCCGTTTACCATGCGCTAAATGGAACGCAATTCCGTGTTTCTGCTGGTAATCTGGCGTTTTCGGTGACGATGTTCCTGATTGGTTCGTCGATTTGCATCGCTATTTTGCAGTTTCGTCGTTTTTCATCGTCAATCCGAGGTGAACTCGGTGGTCCCGTGATAACAAAATCCCTATGTGCGCTGATTTTCATTGGTGTTTGGTTATTATATTTGTTGTTGAGCACGTTGGATGCTTATTGTGTACTTGGCGGATTTTGATGTAAAGTATTTTGATGAAGTGTTTATGATATTCTCGAAGTACCGATATGAAAAGGAGGCGCTTAGCTGAGTATAGTCATTAATGAAGTGTCAAAAGCATCTGCATGCGTCTTGCGGTATTATTTGTTCATACGTTTTAATAAATTCTCGTTTTACACTGTTAACAAACTCGAATGACTTGCTTTGTTAGTAATACGATCAGTGAACGTTTTTAATTGATCATTATCGAGAAATTAATGAATATGCAATTGAATTGAATTCAAAATCAGTGAGCAACAACTGTAGATGGCAAAAAAAGAAATGATACGAAGACAATACGGTCGTGAACAGCACGCGAGATCGTTAAAAAACAATTGAACAACATTGATGAATACTCAAATATAACTCAAACTTTTCCCTGTTAGCAGGAGACACATCACAATGGAAGTTAAATAAAGCCGTCGTGATTTCTGAGAAATACAGGCTCAATCGGATCGGTGTTCACCGTCAACGAAACAGCGAACCCAGCAGAAATCACAGGATAATCGAACAGATGAAATTTGCAAGGAATTCAGGCTTGGTTCCAAACACAACTATGAAACTCAGGATTTATAAAGTAGTTGTCTGGAATTCACACTGAAGGCTGGTCAGCCTTAGCTGATTACTTGGGTAGGAACGTGCGGGCGGCGCTACCTCAATTCAGGTGACATGGAAGGAGACTAATATGACTTGATGGGTTGAATATGACTTGGTGGGAACTGTTGAAGAGGCACTTGATAAAGAGGGTGGAATGGTATGTCTTTTTTTGTTNAATCTGTCTTGTAATATAGCAGAGCCACAACCCACGTTCGAGGTCAAATCCCAAATGAGCCAACAGCTCATCCGATGAAAACCCCAATTCATGGTTGCTAATCGTTTCACGAAGGATTCTCTATTTTGAGATTGGTAATCGGGCCATTGGAACCGCAAGATTAGATCTCTACATGATCGCAAATTTCAAGCGGTTAGTTGGCTACGATTAATGGCTAGGCAGATCGTCGACAGGTCATTTGTAATTTAAGTGTCAGGTAGAGTGGATTCATTGCAGTTGATTAATTGAGAAAACTTAATTTACTGCTGACATGAAGCCGTGTTCAGATTTTCATGTTCGAATCTGCGGTTAAGTGATCAACCAATAGTGGAATTTGCAGAATTATCATTGAACTCTTCGACATCTTCATCAGACACCTCCCATGAACATTTCTTTCATACGTTTACGCGGTGCTTCAGCTCTTTTCTAAAGTTAGCGGCTGCGTGTGTCTGCCTCCGTGAAGTTTTTTTGCCGAGCAAAATCGACTTGAACGCACGTCGAAATTCCGTATTGAATATGGTGTATATGATTGGATTCATGAATGAATTCATGTAGCCGATCCATGTGGAATAGAAGAACGGTCCAAATCCAATCTGGCACATTTCGTTACCGAGCTTGATGCAAATGCCATTCAGGATATTCATTGAGAAAAACGGCACCCAACAAATCAAAAAAATACCTGAAAATTAGCGAAGATAGGAGTGGTTTGGAATCGTTTGTTGCGCGAATTATTCCGATGATCCAACCAAATTTTTCTGAGTCCGACGAAAAATTTTCCGACCGTGAACTAACTAACACACATAATATTAGTGTTGAAATTCCAGATGCTCTCTTTCAATGATCAATGGGCGTTTTCACTTACCCACCACAATACCAAGCGTTTTTGTGGCCCTTTTCTCTTTACGTTGCGATTTTGACACCTTTCGCTTAAGACTACTTTCCTTCGGAATCAATTTACGCTTCACAATGCGCACTGCGAATCCACCAGATGTATTCACTCTGAATGAACAAAACTGATTTCCTTCACATGAACAGACATCAATAATTTCGGTTTTTATGAATCCAACTGAATAGTTTTTTTGGGGTCTTTACTGCTGGACATATCACTCATTTTATAACATGATAAATACTTTCAAGTATAGGAATATCGCGAAGCAAGTGATTCATACGGCATAAAAATCTGCAAAAAATTGTGGCATTATTGACATACCGGCTGGTGCTTACAGAAGATGCGAAGCTTTTCCCCTTTGGTGACTGAAATGTGTTCGACGGTTTTCCAGTTGAAGTATTCTGTTCGTTAGAGGGAACACTCACATTTGAATCCTTCGTCATTGACAATCCACTACTGAATTCTTTCGGAGACAAGATTGGGGCGATTTCAACAGACGAAGAATCTGAACTACATTATTTGAGATATTCTACTGATGGATTCAGAGTTTTTCTTTTCTATCTTTTTAATCCATTTTATGTCGTTTCTCGTTGTGAGCGCAACTACAGTTTTCTTTCCATTCACAGAATATTCCCTAATTAACACAAGCTTAACACTGAACATCATTATAGACAAGTCAGATATTCACTGTGCAATTCCGATCTGTGCTGCCGATATGATTGCTTTTATTCGGTTCACTCTAATAGGGTACGTTTAGACGGTGTTTGAAAAACGAATAAAAAATATCAATCGCAATTCTCATCAGACCCACAACAATTTTTCAGAATAGTGAGTGTATTTTGATAAGTTCAAGAAAAAACTGCTCTTCGGATCCATACTTTGGATCAAATTTGAGTTCACAACAACGGGTTGCAGCAGCAATGGGAATTGCTCCTTTTCTCCTTGTTTGTTGTTATCGTTTGTCAAAGGTGCCGTGCATTCCTGCGAATCTGTTGTACAGTCAGTGTCTTTCACATTTTTATCGAACGTAACCGTTGGAGGTGTTTGCTGAAAGCGTTAGCACGGTGGTTGTCATTCCATATGTAAAGCAAAAAAAGTTGAAATTTGGGCTCCGGAAACACTGAATTTCACCAAAATGTTCTGCTGATCAAATCTGATAGGTGGTTTTCTATCATTGCAAAATCTGATTGACGATGAAATTCCGCATATGAAGTGATCTGGCGAGAAAGGTTGTTTTAGATTGTTAATAGCAAAGAATGGTGACACTCTCACCGTGCGCTTATCATCCGCGAAATCTGCCAGAACGTTATTTTTTATAGTGGACGAATCGGAAGCATGAGGATTTTGAATAATACATTCTTCAGTGGGAGTTGTATCGGGTTCATCCACCTTAATTTCAGAGCTTTGTCTCAGAATTTCAAATTGCAAACTGCTTCAGATAGCAGCTGTTTGAAAAGTGGTTATTACTTGATGAAAAGGTAGCAAAATTGTGGAGTTCATGCGGGTTTCAATGTAAGGATATTGCCCAACACATTTCGAACAATGAGGAAATGATACTATCACCATGCATAGATGGATTACTAGTGACGTTCTATCACGAACAGACCTTAAGCTGACGTCGCAAGCGTAGAAGACGAAACTAAAGTAAGAAAGTTGCTAATTTTGATGAATGACAAAATTTTCCGACGTCAGTGGAAGAGACAAATAACAAGACTTTGCCTTAAAGCGACTGGAACCTGCGATGTCACTAGATGCGCATATTTCAGTTTAAGTTAGTGCTGAAACGTAGTGTGATTAAATCGATTTCTCAGTTCCTTGTCGATGAATCAACTTCATCCAATCTACCACAAATACGTGAACGTCAAGTGGTCATTTTCGAGGACGAAAGACAGCGAGCGTGTCCAAATACGATGGTTTCACATTATTACCTTATGGTTGTTCGCATCATTCGGGAAAATCCCATCGTCAACATTCCTCCTCCCCGTTTCTGCGGCCGGCTGTTCAGGTCGATTCTGTTGGTGATCTGAAAAGATCGTCGTCTCTAATAGCTCTTGTGACTATGTCACTGATCAGTAGAGCCAGAGTTTTGGACTACGTGAGCTATTCCGCCGAATAGCAGCATTCTCACCGGATTAAACGAGTAGTAACATTAACGAATAGGTAACTGTCATAGTGTGCATCCCATGAGCAATCAAACAGTTCCCGTCGTTCATATTGTAATGACAGAATTTCGCTCACGTATGATAAACTGTGAGCTATTACCTTGTTCCCTTTGCATGTGCGTATTACAATAATCGACGAAGTTAGCATTTGGTACCAAAATCGTTGTCGGACCACTTTCGTTTGCGTCTCCGTTCATTTCAATTAAAGGCAGCCTGCAGCATTCATCAGTCATTGCACTTCATCAGATGTGGAATTATTGGATAGGACTAACCGAAGCCAATCAAGCTGAGATCAAGCCAAGCGGAGCAAAAATATTGCGCTCATAGCGAACGCATAATAAGCAATCATCAGAAACATCTTCCAGTTTACTGACCTGTTGATGATCGCTTGTGAACATGGGCATGGTGCAGAGTTGGCGTAACTGGTGTGGGCACTCAGTGGTAAAGATATTGATACCAATTCGATGTCCGATTGAGAGTTAGCTGGTGGATCGGGTTCTGCAAGCAACAAACCGACATCTTTTGGGACGAAACGAGAAGAAAACTTCGGTCATTAGTGGTCACTGAATTTCTCAATTTCCAACCAAATATGTNCGAAAGAGAAGCGCGAGAGAGACGATTCGTAAGGGACACCAAAGTGGTATGTGAATCAACTTTTAAATCTGTACTTGAGCTGTATATGTATAAGATGTACACGGACATCATGCACTATCGATTCGGATGATGAAACTTAACTTTCGTATATCATACTTGGAGGATCTCCTCCCTTTTGTGTTTGTATGTTATGAATGCTTTGTGTTTCGATATATAATACAGTATTATTACAAAATAAACGCCGAAAAAATATCATCTGTTCGAACCGCCCTGATCAAACAGCGTTTTGTATCAAACATAATCCAAATTCAACCAGAAACCTGTTTGGCTGTTCGGCTCGTCGTTCACCACTGTGTCGTCGAAGATTTTATCGTCGTCGAATTCATCCGTGCAATTATTCTCGATAACCGGGATACTTATTTCGTGTGCATTCTGCTTTGATGGTGATGAGCATGCAGCAGTGGATGTGGCGGAACGAAATAGTTTTGGACGTCGCTTTGACAAGCGTCGAAGTATCGCCGGCAAAATATTCTCCGATTTTTGCTCTTGGCTGCAAAACGAACCCGTCTTGCTCTATTACTGCGTTGATGTTATTTGTCAGCAACAATTTCCGCGGTATATTACAGCTGTTATAGTTGTATTGTAACAAAAACTGTTGACTCTGTGGAAATAAAACGACGAACCCATTTGCAGTTATCGTATGGTGGGTACCCCTTCTGCTTTGCCGGTGTTCAGACCACTGATGAGTCTTGCACGAGAATCGTCTGAAAATGGTTTCTGATGCAATGGAAATTTAATCCTCCCAGATTTCTCATGCGCAATATTCGCTGGAGCATTAGAGGATCATTGAAATGCAATGATAATCACTGTAGAGCATTATGTTAACGTAGGTCGATGCGCATTCAATGTGGCACGAACAGTAGAGCTTTTTAGCAGTCATGCACTGGAATGCCCTCATGTGATTGCATCCATGACCGTGTTGTGGCACTGAGGATTCGGCCGTTACCTACAGGAGAACTTTCAACTCACGAGAATTTTTTGTTCTGTGTTTCTTTTGTCGTCCTATATTTAGGGTCAAAATTCACGATATCTGCAGCTGAGGTCAGCGATGAAATTGTGTGCTCCGCAAACGAAGAATCAGCGTCGTCTGATGATCGCCTGAAAAAAGTGATCGTTTGAACGAGGGTCATGCGAATGCTACCAAATGAAATCAGAAATGCTTTCTCGCATGATCGCTTCGGTTGGTGCGCTTAATCGTCTACCGTAACCACTGTTCGGAAGAATTTTAAAGTCGCGTTTCAGAAACAATACTTGTTTTAAAGTCTTTCGGAGACAATTATTTCATTTGAATATTTTCCAAGGACAGTGCTTGGTTCACTTCCTTACGCACTGCTCATATGGAGTAATGGCGGAAACTGATATTTAGCTAGTTCACAGAACCGTGCCTTGATATGGTTGTTCCACCATCCAAAGCAACATCGTTCATGGCCACACTTGCAGTATTGCACAGGGAGTCACTACTTGAGTGTCCAGACCCTGTCCCAGCGACATCTTGCTCATCTGAAAGTAGTTAGTTACCTGAAGATGTTCCTCCGGAATGATCAGGAAAACTCCAAAGGCTTGTGAAAATTGATCTCTGATATCAGCTAGACGGTAATTGACATATTGGTAAGGAAGTGTAGAAGAAACATATCTGAACGTGATAATCGACAATACGGGGTTAATACGTTCGCTTGAGTGGTTTACTGCTAAACGTGGTGACACCGTTCGGATATTCGTTCAGGTTGAAAATGACCAGATGATCATTTCTTATCGTAAGGAAACAGTAAGGATGCAAGCGGAAATAATCAACACAACAATATTCCGTTCAATCTACTGATATATATGAAAGAACTCTTAAGTTCATGCCTAATCATTCATTTGCTGTTTCTGGGTTTATGTTTGGAGCATCCATATCAACTCAGTTAGCGAGCTTGATCTTGAACAACGTGAACCTAATAATGTTTGGAGGCCTTACTACCTTCCCACTGAAATTTGACCCAAACAGCTTGCTTCATGAGGATTTGTTTTCATGTTTCCAGATGCTTCGATCCCTGTGGCTAACGCTCCTCCAAGTGGGATTAGAGGAGTGAGCCCAAAATATTTGGGTTATTACACTCAGTGTGTGATGATTTCATTCGAGTATTTTCCAAAGACAATGATTGGTTCATTTCCTAACGCATTGCTCATATGGAATAATGACAGAAATTGACAGATGGATATTGTTGTTCAGCAAGCAGCCACTTACAATGGGAACCAGAATTCATCTTTTGCAAGGATAGCGGAGTAGCAAGTGCAGTAGTTAGTCGACATTGAGACTAACGATTTCTACTGAACGTGCGAGTAAGAACTTGCAGAACTTACAAACAACATGCAAACATTACGGAACGATATTTGACGACGACGTCATGGATTACCTTCTCTGTTTCACTTCGCAGCAACCAACTTTTTTCTTCGCAAACTGAGAGGAGTCACGATGAAATGCGTAACACCACTTCAGTTCAGAGCGATTACTTAACCTTCAGAATCTCGTGTCTGAATCCGCTGTGAAAGAGTGGAAATTGTGAACTGTCTATGGACGAACCGAGTGGAAATTGTTTCCGTAACGAACCGCACTCTCAAACATGCAAGTAAACAACATTCGTTCGGTTACCTTCACGTAGCAATTGTGGAGCGCGAACTACATGCACACGAACACGAATTCGGCAGTGAGCATGCAAAGAACTGTCGCTCAATAAGTCACTCATGGAAGAACAGAGTGAAAAGCGATCAAGAAAACAGGTAATATGAAAGTAATGCAAATTAGAGTTTCATACTGTAAACGAGTTGCGGTGAAGCAGACACCAAGTCGTTGACGTACCACCGTTGTGGTTCACCCGTGCAAGAATAAGTACTAGCCAACTGAGGTGTTCCCTCATCTGGCTCGCCTATTTTCTCAACAATATCATTTCTGTTTTCATGCTCCACTGGCATTGTCGTCGATCGCTCTGTATTTCGAACGAAGCAGCGCCTGAGCAGGAACGTAGAATCTGCGCTAAGAAAAGCTTGCTCTCCAAAACAGTCTGTCACTTGAGGTGACTGGACGCTTTGAAACGAGCAGTGATTTTGCGATGTGTTTGTTGGCCTAAGTGCCGTATTTGGTGCAAAGCAATAGTTCAAAGAGGAGTCGTGTTTGGGCGAGCATAGTTTTAGTGAGCGTTGCTGTGGAAGTCGTTTCATATCAAAGAAGAGGTGCGCATCGTATGATTTCGACTTATCGTTCACGAATTTTTGCTGGCGTTCTTTAAGAGTCAATTTGGTTTGTGCTACTGCTACAGAATCATGCAACAGGACGTCAACGCTCATTAGAGAATTAGTAGCAGTCGCAATGAGGACAGGATGTTTAGTTGTCTTCAGTGGTTGCTGCTTCTCAAGCATCTCCACCGAACTACTCGTCTCATCGTCATCTGTTATCATCATATCATCATCATCATCCTCTTCATCTTGGCGTGCAGTTGCAGTACCTGCTTGATCGATCGCAGCCTTGGTTTGCTCGTACTCTTCCATTCGACGTGCCATCGACGGTAACGCGAACATCATCATGTTCACTGCTAAAATCACACGTCCTATCAACGATTCATTGATTCGTTTCAATTTTCTATTCCAACAAGAAAAGGAATGGTAATTCGCACAAAAGTGGCAGAAAATTTTCACTGGTGTTGCCAGCTTGTGATCTACTGCCTCACCCAATGGCTCAACTTTAAATCAATGGCACCTTCATCGTGTCTATGTAAAATTTATTTGAATGAACCACTACTTCTTATAAGAAAAATGCAACTGAGCAAATTTTGCTTCTATCGGCACAATTGTCTCATTGCATGATGTGTACGCTAGATGTCACTATACTGTTGAGCTTTACGAAAGGCACTTCTCAAATTATGAGATGCATTTCGATTCGTCGCGTTCATTCGAGAATATCAATAATCCAGTAATGGTTCGGAAATGGTGACTACAAAGAAGACAAATAATTTGACCCGTATTGGTTGAGCTTACATTTTGACATTTAAAATTTTGAGATATGTCAAATTTCTAGTCGCCCCAGAAATGACGAATCAATTTTCGTCTAATCAATTTGTGCTGTCAGTCGGTGGCAGTGTTGGTTGGTTGTTCTCAAATCTCAATCTCACTGCAATCAAGCATAAGCGGACAACGCATGCAGGAAACAATTGTGCTCTCTACACAGAAAAAAA